GGGTTTGAGGAAAAAAGTTGGCTTCGAAATTATTTACCGAAATCATATTTAAATTAGACGAGATTTCAATTGTATATGATTTTTTGCGACTTCGTCGACGGAGAGCGATTAATTACGTTGGTCCGTCTGTTTTCATTGAAGGTCCGCGTCGCGACGCTGATCGACCAAAACGGACGTTTTGGACCTGGACTCGTTTGGGGATCCATTCGGTCCGGTCGTTCTGTCTTGGGATTTTACACGTGAAATCAATCAGCCGTCACGTTTACTTTGTCGTACGATCTTTTTTTTTTTCGGGGACTGTTTTTTTTTAATTTCTTTTTCTTTTTTTCTTTATTTTGGTATCCGCTTCTTTTTTTCCCGTCTTTTTCTCAGGACCGGCTGGCTTTAGCTGATCGAAAATATCTACCTACCATGTACAATTGTACAAGGCAGGCTGTTTACCGTCTATTGAAAACGAACCCCGTGCATCGCCCGAAAGCTCCGCCTTTAATTTAGTTCTGTAAATGCTATTTCTAGTTCCCTCTTATTTCTTTCCGTTCCATACGCTTGTCTCTCTCTTTCATTAGTCCTCGTGCCTCCGTCCCTCGCTTGATTAAAACGTCTGCCGGCGATTCTGTGCCCGTCGAGACGTAAAAGAAAATCAAAACACTTGCCACACAAAAGCCACGTGGGCGCAGTCGCGGGAATAAGGGTAGTTTCATGGGGAAGGAGAAAATTGCAATTTTGAGGTGATTAATTTTTTTTTTACCTTTTTGTCCTGCAAGAATTCCGGATCCACCAGAAGCACGCCTTGCAGCTTGTCTATCTTGCCGCTGCTGACGATCAGATCTCTGCTGGCCAAGTACAGCGTCAGCTTGTTGTTCGGCGATGACTTTTTGAACACCCTATAACTCGAGGCAAATAAACACTTTATCATTTACTCGATGATCTCTCTGTGCGCCTAGAAACCAATTTATGTCTTTCGGATCCATGCGAATTACGCCTTGGTACGTTAACTAGGCACAGGTTCATACGGAAGTCCACGTGGCTCCCTTGACATCCGGCGGAATTTTACAAACGAACAAATTTTCATCCACGTGATTTATTTGCGCATCCATTACATAATGATTCTCGACGATAACGCTGGGTTGATACGTATAACGTATAATATAAATTTTCCATCCCCGTGTCCAAGGGTGAATACTTCGATTATGCAAATAAACTAGAATCCCGAGATAGGGGGACACATGATTCGAAGATTGAGAAATGTTTCCCATAGATCAAGAATTTTTCGCAAAAAATTACGCGATTCATTTTTAAAAAAAAAAACTGTTCATTATCTGCAAGGATCTTTGAAAGAGGGTGGCGGGGGGGGGGGGGGGAGGGTGGAAAAGGG